CTCAGGTCGTCCAGCACTTGCAGGGCGTGGAGGATGGTGGTGGCCCTCAGGCACGCCGTGCTCTCGGGGGTCTCCTGCGGGGGGAGATGGAGCGAATCAGCTCTGAAGTGGGGGCGCTGACAGCCCGAAAGCGTCCCCGCGCTGTCCTGACTTACTGTGTGCACGGCCGCCTGCAGCTTGTGCAGCCAGTGCCTGAGCCTGCCCGAGGGCTGCTGCGAAGGATCCACCTGCGAGGAGAGAGGCTGGGTAAGGGGCGGCCCCGCGGCTGAGCCGGCCCGGGGCAGGGCTCTGGGGGAGGCACTCACACAGCCCAGCACATCCTCCCGGGCCTGCCTGAAGAACTGCAGGGGCCGCCGGCGCACTTGGGCAAAGCTGGGGACAGCGGGCAGCTCCAGCATGGCAGTGGTGAGGTTCAGCTCGGCCGCCACCAGCAGCACTCGGTCGGACATCTGTGGGTGTGAGTTGGCCTGGTTAGTGACCCGAAGCGCCAGGGCTGGAGGATGGGGGGGTCTCAGAGACCTGCCCGGGGGTGCGGGTGGAGGTGGAACCGGCTGACAGGAGAGGCGTGCCTCCTTTTTACAGCATCAGCTCGCTCTTACCGGCAGGTCTGCTGCTTTCCATTTGCGGTAGAAGAGCCTGGTGTTGCATTTGTGGCTGCTCACCTGCAGGCATAAACCAAGAGAGAGGCTGAAAAACTCTCATTGTGACTTCTGGCAGTGCTGTACAACCCCAGCCGGCCTAGAGGGGTCTGAAACCAGGACAAAGCATCCTTCATGTCCCTAAACACACTTGGAAAATAACTTCCTCATCTCCAAACTGCTGCAGAAAACATGCACCTTGTCGCTCAGGTCTTGAATTCAGCATCCCCTCTGCCTTGCCCCTGCCAGCCCGCAGCCCCCTGTCGCCAGCAATACTCACAAACTCTTGTCTCATCTTGTCCACAGCCTTCTTCTCCTCGGGTGCAATGTTCTGGTACTTGGACAGCCTGCAGCCGTTCCTCGGCACGTCATGGGGAAGGGAAGCCCCCAGGCTGACCCCCAGCACCAGCACGAGACTGAGCAGTGAGCTGAGACTGAGGCACATTTCGGCAACGAAAGCTTGTCAGTCAGCGATGGATTGCGATGAGGTGAGGAGGCTGCGGTCCAAGGTGGCAGAGAGGATGAACTGGAGGATTCCAGGCAGGATTCGCTAAATTTCAGATGCAGAGGTGCCTGACGGGTGCCACAGGTATCCTGTTCAGACGTGGAGCTTCTGAGCTGGTGGCCGTCACGGGGAGCTGCTGTGCTTTGCTGCTCCGTCTCCAGCTTTTTATTCCTGCGTGGCATTTTCATATTCGTAGGAAAATCCAGAGGTGGTAGAGCTAGAAACAAAAATGAAAGTGATGCAGGGAATCTCCCCTCCGTTACCTGCCCTGCTGCGCCTCAGCGCGGGATGCCGGGGCGTGCTGGGGCTGAGGGGGCACGCTGCTGCCGGCTGTGGCCAGCATGACCCAGCCCCACCCCATGCTGAGAGCTGCAGGAGACACCTGGGGACAACAGGAGGGTTTTGGTGCCTCCTGAGTGGCAGCAGGAGTTCAGGCCTCAGTTTCCCCGTGGGAAAGGCCATGGCAGGGAGGGGGCATAACCAGCACTGCACATTCCAGACTACATGGAATGTATTTGTGTTCTCCTGAGGGACCAGGCTCACCACCAAAGCAGGGAAAAAGGTGAAAGCAGAAGCATTTCCACCTGAAGTTTTCCATGTGGCACACAGAGTTGTGGAGGGAGATGAAGATGAGCAGGGCTGCCACTCTACAAGGCACTGGAGCTGCCTGGGGTTTCTTCCCTGTTTAGCCTGGGGACACAAGTAGGGTGTATTGACATCGCTCTGCTGACAGCTGGAATGGTACCTCTCAGCAAACTGTCCCTCCCTCAAGAGAAACTCCTGTGGTCACTGCTGTGCTTTTAGGGTTCTTCAAGCATTAAGTACAAAAAAATTTAAAAGATAATAAATATAATATATATAAAATATATTAAAATTAACTAATTATATATTAATATATATAAATATAAATATTAAATTAAATATTAAAAAACAGGGCAATACCTGGATGTAAGAAGCAAAGACAGTAAGAAAGCAAAAGGCATAAATGGACTTCGCAGGGCCTTGCAGAGTGGCCACTCCAGGAGGACCCAATTTTTAATGTTCATGTTTGGAACTGTGTTGTATTTGAAAGTGCTGATTTCAAAGATGCCAAGAAAAGGAGGAAAGTTCTTGTGGAAGCATGTGTAAAGGCACACCTGTGGGTGAGCAGAGTGGCATGGATGTGGTCGTGGAGGTGGGCTGGGACCTCTCTACATTATCCAATCCAAGCCCTGCTCTGGCAGGATCAGCTGGCATGGGCTGCCCAGGACAGTGACCAGTTTTGAAAATCTCCAGGGATGGAGTGGACACTTCACAGCCTCTCTGTTTTTCTTGCGCTCAGATGGACTTTCCCTGGTTCAGCTTGTGCTGTGCTGTCACACCACCATGAGCCCCTGAGCCTCCTCTCTCAGCCTTTCCTCACAGGAGAGATGTTCCTATCCATCATCTTCATGACCTTTCTTGGACTCCTCCAGTCCCTGCCATGTCTCTCTCCCACTGAGGAGCCCAAAATGGACCTAGCACTTCGGGGGTGGCCTCACCATGGCTGAAGAGAGGGGAAGAGTCATCTTCCTCCCAGTACAGCCCTGGATACCATTCACTTTTTTTCCCACCAGGACACTTCCCTGGCTAATGTTTAACCACCCAGAGCATGAGTTCTGGTACCCACCAGAACCCCCAGGCCCTTTTGTGCCCTGCTTTTCTCCAGGGCAGCCCCAACATGTCCTGGTGCATGGGGCTGTTCCTCTTCCAGTGGAGGACTTTGCCTTTCCCCTTGCTGAACTTCAGAGGTTGTCATCAACCCATTTCTCCAGCTTGTTGAGGTCCCTGTGGACAGCAGCACAATCCTCTGCTGGGTCATCCACTTCTCCCAGTTTGGTGTCACCACTGAACTTGGTACAGAAAGGGTGCCCTGGGCCTCATCACCCAGATCATTAATGAAGAGGTCGAGCACGACCAGCTATTGACTCACAGGGTCCATCCAGCCCTTCTTGAGCCCTTCCCCTGCTCCAGCAGCATCCCAGAGGTCTCAGATCTTTCCTGGAAAACCACGATAAAGAATGGGAAGAGGCAGCATGGATTGGACAGTGGTTCCACTTTGTCCAAACTGGATGCAGAGACAGCTTGGAGAAGAGCCAGGACAGCAAAACGTGGTGCTAAAGCCCCAGAGCGTGGTGGGCACAGGTTTTCCAGTCATGGATGTGGCCACTGGACCACCTGGCTGCTGCCCAGGCTCCCTCACAGCAGCAGATTAAGAGGAGGTCAGTAATTAAAAGCCTGAGCCATGGTGTTGGCTGGGGTCCCTTGTCTTCCCTTTTGGTGAACAGGACAATGGCTCAGTCTTTCTCTCCCATTAACAAAACCCGCAGGAGATTAATTTTTATTCAAGACAACAAAGTTCACGATCAATATAGCTGTGAAATACAAGTCCAAAGCAGCATAAATAAGTCCAGTTTTGTCATTCAAACAGGCACAGCTCAGCTGGAATAGAAGGCACCTTAGCAGAAAATCCCAACAGATGTAAAATAAAAGTGGCCCCCAGTGAGAGAGGAGTGATCCACCACCAAGCACGGTCCCACACCACCGATTCCTGACGAGACGCTTTCGGGTCACCCATCAGGTCACAGAGTAGCATCACATCCTCGTGGGACAGCTTTGACTCCTGTTTCCCATCGCTGTGGCTTTTCTCTCCCAGATGTCATTTCTGTTTGGAGAACTAAAGCGAAACCTCATCTCTTCACAAATGCAAAAGGAAATTCAGAGGTTCCAAAGAAAAGCTAAAGCTGTGGGGCAAAGCTGCGTCACGAGCACTGTGAGGTGCCCCCCACCCAAGGAGGCAAAGATTTCGTTTCAGGTGTGCATTGTTAAAGTGAGAAGCGTGGCTTTACAGCCCAGGAAGAATGGATTCCATCCTCTGCCTTGGGAGATGGGCCTGTGACCCCAGGAAGAATTGCCTCACCCCAGACCCCTCGTGGGGTGGCAGTCCAGGGTGTTCTGATTGGGTTTGAGCCCCTGGGGTTTCTCCCTTGCTGTGTTCCTATTAGACCCAGACCTTAAACTCCACCCTGGTTCTGTCCCACAAAACCCATCACCCTGCCTTTGTTTGGGGCGCTCTGTCTCTGGATCTGAGTTTGTTCCATAAATGGTTTCCTGAGCAGAAGCCCATCTTGTTGAGTCCCGTGTTGGTCCACTGCCTCCCTGGACATGATCCTGCAGGCCTGGAACACAACAGCGCAGCCCCCAGCACTCATGATGGCTGGGATGGAGGGGTAAGGATCTCTCCTGGGCACCTTGCCCAGGTATCTGTGCCACCCCCAGCCACAGCTGAGCCCTCAGGGGCTTGGCTGAGCAGCAGCAGGGGCTTTTTCTTTATGGGATGGGGTGTTGCAATTCTGGCTTTTGGTGCATATCTTAGCTCCCCCATAGCCCTGCCAGCAAATCAGCTACATTCACCACAGCTCCTCCAAACCGTGCCAGTGCCAGCTCCTGCCCTGGCGGTGGAGAGTTCCCCAAAGCCAGCACGGGCTGGGGACATGACACTGTGCCCAACAGAGTCCATAGGGCACTGGGAACCCACCACAATCATCATTCCAGTGCCAGCTGCCAATGGTGCTGTGCCAGGATTGCAGCACAGATGATGATGTTGGAGTCCCTTGGGTTCACCCAGCCTGGAGGCTGGAGCCACTCCAGCTTGCTCAGAGCAAGAAATCCCAGGTGTGGAATTTCCAGGTGTGAGAACAAAAGTGAAACCTGACTGTGGACAGGGCTGGTGTCAGCACCGGGTGAGGCAGTCGCTCCATGGTGACTCATGGGTTCCTGCGTGGCACGAGCGTGGGAAAGCTGTTTGCCACAGACCGTGGCATTAGAGTGGGTATGGTGAGCCCAGGTGGCTCCTGACCCCAGCGGGCCCCTGACTCCCAGTCTGGGAGGAAGTGAGTCCTGTTAAACCGACTAGTCTGGGTAAAGAGGGTATAAAGAACAGAAAGTGTGCCCCAGAAAAGCCAGCTTTAAAAATAAACCCCTGGCTGAGATGTGGGAGCCCAATGGTGCCAGGACAGGGGGCATCAGGCGGGCTCTGCTCATCAGCCATGACTGGACTGATCCCTGCCAGCCCAGGGTGTCAGTGCCACCAAAGTGGCCCCAGCCCCGTCCATCCCCCATCCTCCTTCCCCTCTCACCATGTGTGAGCTGCAGCAGCCGCTGCAGTGGCTGCTGCTGCTCTGCTACACCACCATGCACAGCAGTGCATGCCCTGCTGTCATGGCCAGGCACCCACTGCACGATGCCAGTGCAGGGAGGGAAAGGCTTTTAAAATCAAATTACAGACGTAATTAGCCACCAGACTTAAACTTGTTTTAAAGTGAGGAAAAAACCCAAACACGTTTTCTCCAGAGCCTTTTTGCCACCACTGCAGGGACACGTAGGGACTGTAGGGACACGGGATGTCCCATCTCCTGGGGGACCCCTCCCTGCCCTGGAATGTCGCCCAGGGACAAGCCCTGCCAGCAGATCTGGGGCTTCCCCGGCCCAGGCAGCCAGACAGACCATCAGCATCGCAGCAGTGGTGCCACCCAGTGCCATCCCAGGCAGGAGAGACACCTTCATGCTCACCCAGCAAGGGAGGCCTGAGAGCTGCTGCTGGCCCAGACCCAACCTGCACCTGGAGCAGCCCCTCAGCCAGTGAGAGCAGGGCCTGATCCAGTATTGCTGCTCCAGCACCTGGCCATGGACACAGAGACCATCCATGGCTGTTCTCCCGAGACCCCATTACCCTCCTGGGGGACCAAGTGGAGGCAGAGCCTTCGCTCCGCACCCTGGGCAAACTGAGGGGAGCTCACTCAAGGCCCTGAGAGCCCAGGACCTCAGCAGAAGTACCTCCAGCCCCCTGCAGGTGCATTCTCGGGCCAGGAGCAGAGGTGGCACTTCACCCTTCTTAATAATTCATTGATATAGAACAGAGTGAGGGCACAGCTCTTCCCATGATGTCAGGGAAGCTTTCTTGCCAAGGACAGGAATTACAGGAAAGGGAAAGATTCCTGCAGAGGGTGGATCTGGACTTAGAAATATCCAGAAGGCAAACAGGATGTGACCTGTACCAGGGTATGCCCAGATTTGAGCCCTCATGTCTCCCCTTGCCCCTCCCAAAAAATGCAGCCTCTAATCTTCCCTTTGTAGCGTGGGTGGGTGATAGGGGCACAAACCTGCTCTCTCCTTCAGCAGTGATCCCATAAAGGCTCCTGAGCTGTTCTGAGGGGCCTCACTAGGGCCAAGGCACTCCTGGGGCAGGGAAGGGGTTGATACCTGCACCAGCCAGCAGCAAGGCACCAGGGACAGGGGCACATTGTGGGTGAGATCAGCCCCTTTTCCAGGGCAGCCTTCAAAGACAATGCAGAGCTCTTCACTTAGGCAGGGCAAAGAAACAGGTTAATGGCCCTTCCTGCCCAAAAGCCACCTTCCCCACAGAGCAGAGGGGCACTGAGGGCATTGAGACACTCAATGTCAGTGTAGCAGTTATTCCCACACCAGTGGGTGCTCCACAGCCTCTTTGTAAAACAGGAGCCACAGGCAGTGTTTTCTCAGCTTGATTTTTAATTATTATTTATTGTGCAAGAAAGGCAGTGAGTTTCTCAGCTGTTCCTGTGTTTTTCTTCCCCACAATAAACCAGCAGTCCTCAATGGAACACTTCCAGTGCCGAGTGAGCAGCACTGGGCAGACTTCAGGTCCAAGGTGGACAGGAAGCTGAAGGGCATAAAACCCCATCTGCTTTCCGTAGGAGACCAAAATTTCCATCAGCAAAATCAGCACCAATATTCCCAAGGAGCAAGAGCGGTTACAAGCAGGGTTTTAGGAGACAACCCACCTCCTCCATCCACTGTGATACCAGATCAGGAGAAGGGTTTGCTCTCTCAGCGTCCCTTGCACCCCAGCACACAGACGTGCCTCACCCAGAACTCCACCGGGGTGTCACGAGAGGAAACTCCCATTGTCTCCAGCATCCTGGAAGGACAAGCAGAGGAAGGGTCTCACCTTAGACAGATCTCTTCCACCCACAGCACGGGGGGATGGCAAATGCTTCCAGCTGCTGCACAAGGGTCACTCTGGTCAGGGAGTAAACAAGCAGGCACCCCTTCCCAGCAGGCCCTTGTTGGGGCTGAAACAGATGGGTGAAGATGCAACCACCAATATTTTTCATGCCTTTTGCCAATTAAAAACAAGGTGAAGAAACTCAGGATAGTCTCATGTCAGAGGTTTCATGGATACATGAGTGCAAGCACATCCTACTGCTACATAGGCTTAAAATTTAAGGATCTGCTGTTTAACCCCTGACAAATGTCCACCCCTGAACACTCACTTGCAGCTTTGAAGGGGTCTGCACAACCTCCCTCTGCATGCACTGCATAGGACAGGTCCTCCACATCCTGCTTGTTTTCTCACCTCTTTTCAGTCTCTTGGAGGAGGGATGCTGCACCTTTGGGGTCATCCTTCTTGAAGGTTTGATATGGAGAGGCAGACTCCATGTAACCAACCACACCTTCAACAGTCATGGGAATTTGGTCATAGATATCAGTGACTCTACAAGAGACACGGGCAAGAAAGGAGCATTGGCAGGTTAAATCTCAAAGGCAGGGGAGCACAGACAACAGGTTGACCCTGGTGGATGAAATATCTGACACCATCAAAGGTGGTTCTGCTCACCTCTTCTTGTCTGGGAATGGCAAGGCCTCAAAGATCGTTTTGTAGTCCTCCAAGACATACTTTATTCTATTATGTGAGTATTTCAAAATCTTGTCCCAGCACTGTAAAGACAGTGTATTAAACACAAAACCTTGAAGTTCTCAAATGCCACTTAGGTTTGGGCCTGCATCTGATACATTCATGTATGTCCTTTTTTTTTAGAAAAGACTTGTTGTACACCAAAATCTTGCTTAATGTCAAGAATTCAAGGATCCTATTATAGAATAAGGCTCCTGTCCTTCCTACTCATAGTGGAGAGTCTTCTTTTATCCAATTAGTCCAGAAAGAGTCCTAAAAAGAGAACTTCTTCCCAACAGTTTATACTTTCCCTTTTTTTCACTGTCATCAGGGCAAGAGGAAAAATCTCCTGGACAATACCAACTCCCAGATCTGCCCTGGCACCCTTCTCACCCCCACCAGAGCCTGCCCTATCAGTCCTCACGTCTCCCTCCTCACGATCCAGCCAGCCTTGAGTGGAAATCTCTAAATCCTTCCTCAGCCTTTATCCCTACATTTACCCATCCCTTTGCCCCATTCTGCATTAGGATTCCTCAATCCCATTCCTTCCTCTCTGAATCCAAGTGCCACACATTTCCCACCCCACCCTGAGGTTTTACCAGCTCACCTCCCTGAAGACTTTGGTGAGTTTTTCGGAGCAGTCTCCGTAGCGCAGGCTCATGTCTGCAGAGTAGGTGCTGATGGCCACGCAGCCGCCCGGCTTCAGCACCCGCTCAGCCTCCCTCACAAACTTCTCGATGTCAAACCAGTGCGCGGCCGTGAACGACGTCAGGACATCCACGGAGGCGTCCTGGAACGGCAGCTCCTCCGCAGGGCACACCCTGCAAGGGGCAAGGGGAAAAGCCACGTGTGATGTGGGAATTACAGAGCAGGACACGAAGTCAGCGGCTATTTTTTGATGGTTTGGGATGCAAGACCAGACAGCTTCTGGAAGTCTAGGACAATGCTTGTTCACACCAGGAATTCCATCAAATGGAATCTTTGGTGCCTTCTGGCTCTTCAGAGAGTCATACTCACAAACCACCACCTCCACGTGAGGACCTGAATTCTGCCTCTGGCTGGGCGTGCTGTCCTGACACTCACAGGTAGGAGATGTTGGCCATGCAGGGGGTGTCCTTGGCCTCCTGGATCTGCGCTTCGCTTATGTCCGTCCCCACCACCTTCTTGAAGTGCTCCCCAAGGAAATGGGTGCCTTGGCCAGACCCACAGCCAACATCCACCGCCAGCTCCGCAGGGATTGCCTTCTGCAGGGAGGAGTGGATGTGTCTCAGTGGGAAGCCACCCAATT